GATATCTAATAGGAAGAAATTGGAAAATAGAAAGCAAATGTGAAAATGTTCTTCTTTTAAACCTAATTGAGATGTTGCTTCATATAATAGAATATGAAGACTGGGCTATGTGTTGGTTCAGCTAGTTACTATTAACAAACTTTACTGAATATACTGTAATTTTTTTACATGTGCTCAGTCATAGAAGATTATCATTATCAGTAGACATTTAGATATACAAACCAGGCTGTCCCTCCATCTGTTTGCTTCAGAATACTTGGCATTTATTTTGCAATGTCGTAAAAGTAGTTACAGCTTTGCAGTTGAGAACTATTACAGCAATATCAATTTTTCATATTCAAGTTAGCTTTAAAACCAGAATTTTGCCTTTTATTTATAACTTCTAGTGCTGTGCTCTATGCCTATGCATGGGGTGGGGGAATTAAATGTGTGGAATACAGCTGGGCAATAAATAAGGTTGCAAAACTCTGTCATTAGTAATAAAGCCTTTTGCATTAAAATGGAAGTATCTAGAGCACTAGATTGAAAAAAACCCAAAAACCAACAAGCAAACCAAACCCCAAAAAAACTCAAATGCTTTGAGTATAACCAGGAATTTGCCTCTACTTTGTGAAGTATTTTAAGGAGACATTTTTTGCATGGTTTCCACAGAAACATTTTGCAGCAAGAAGGTATTAATGTTTAAAATAAATGGTTAGCTGAGGCAGCGGGAAATTGGAGACTCTTTTTACATCTTTTGTAGTTGAATCTTCATCATTTTAGGCTGATGATCATGTTCAGCTAAAAATTTGCCTAATTGTTTGCTGGTGGTTATAAGCTAAGTGTAGATTAAATGATTGTGGCTATTTTGTAGAATTAGCCATACAAGAATGGCTGTTTTGGATAGAGTACCATGTTAATGTTGACTGGGAGCAGGAAGTTTTTATCTTCATTTTCCTTTCTCTTCTCTCCCCTCTTCCCCCCACCCCTCCATCTCCCAAAGGAGATGTTAAAACAGCTGTTTTAGAGACTGGTGAAGATGTTACGTTTTTTGAAATGATACCAGGCAATAAAAGAGAAGATAGGTAAGGGGAGAAAACAACCCTAATCAGTTAAACTTATTAGAATTTCACAGTTCTCAGGAGGCTGTAAATTCATACAACCCTGGGGTGAGAGAAGAGGTAGAATGAAATCAGATTCCATCTAGATCTATAAAGGCAAAATGGCACTAAAATTTTATTTTAACATTTAAAAATATATTCAGTAGTGACATGTGGCCAAGTATGTTAAACCATACGTTTCAGAAATACTACTGTATTCCTTGCAATAGATTCAGAGTGATGTAAAGATTTTACTTGGGCGACACCTGCAATTCATGCAGACTTTTCCAAGTAGTAAATGCAATGCTCTGCCATGTTTAACAGCAGATGAGCACATTGAACTTAACAGCAACTTTATTTAGCTGAAGATGCTGCACATCTCCTCTTTAGCTGTGCTCATTGAGCGTATCACTCCAGTGCTGTCCCTGCCACTCTTCGTGGGTATTGAATCAGACCAAGAGCCTGTCTTCATGTTTTCAAAGCTGCCCAAAGAATGAACTTTTGGTATTTTAGAGATTTCTTTGTCTTCATAAGAATAACGTCCTTGAGTATGTTTCGCTGATGCTATGAAGCTGGGCACCCTCAAGGCTAAAACTCCTAAAAGTAGGAGCTACAACTCTTACTGCCACAGCAACAAAGTTTGGGATGTAATTAGGAAAAGTATTAGAGTGACTGAGTGTGACAATGGGAATCAAATTCAGTTTAGTTTTCTGGTTACTCTTGTTTCGTTTTCTTTCCCATGAAGATGATAACAGCAAAGGGAAAGTGAGATGCCAGAAATGAGGGAAGGAGTAGAGTGAAGGTGAAGAATAGGAGGAAATTTATCAGAAAAGAGGAGAAGAGAATTATATACTTGATAGAAGGAAGAAAGAAGTTAGACATTCAGCGAATTACTGTTTTCTTATTTACCTGCTGGGAAGCCCATACTAGGTGAGAGACAACATCTGAAAACCTCTGTGTGCAGATAAAAAGAAGGCAGCTTAGCTGCACTTTTCATAAATAGTCTGAGACTCTATCTGCACACAGTGACATTTAATTAAGCCAGTAAGCTGAAAGTTTTTTTTTATCCTATGTTTTAGTTACGGTTGAGAAATTATTGCAGTTTGTAATTTTGTATCCTTATCTGAACTAAATTCCATGAAGTAGATTAAGAGTTTGCCTACTCTGGGGGGCTTTAGCAATATTCTATCTATACAGTCATTTTTAATACAATTTTACTGAGTGATTAAAGAAATAGATGGTAACCTAGTACTGTGCCGCACTTTTTTAATTAAAGTTGTTTGTGTTCGCACAGAATAAAGCAAATAAGTGAATAATGGATATCTGAGCTAAAAATGGGGGGCTGTCAGCCTGCTCAGACATAGCTTTTTCTTGTAGGGACCTAGTTATGATAATGGTCTATATAGGAACTTCTGATCTCGGAACAGTGTTTGTTTGGCACCTTCCTCAAGGGAATCATACTAGTGAAAAATTTATTATTGTAAAAAAATAACATTTTTAAATGGCGCCATACTTCTGTGCGGTCTTTTCTGACACTGCTCTTCACTGAAGTGACATAGTCGATGTAGCAGGTTTTTACACATGGAAACAGTTCTATTTTAGCAGAGGATTAAGTGCAGATACACAACATATTTCATAAAAGATTCTTATATCCTCTCTCCCATTGACACTCCTGCCCCCAGATCAGAAGCGTAGCCTGGCACACCGTGCTTTCTTTCAGATCTTCACAGACATTTGCCTGCCATAATGCAACATAAATTTTGTCTTAGTTATCAGACTGTGATTATGAAATAATAATGGGAAGAGGGATCTCAGCCTGTTCATAAAGCATAGTGATTTTTAGTATAAAAAGAAGCTGAATTAAAAAGACCACACTTTTTTATTTGCATATGCTGTCTTATGACTTACAGTAATTAATGTAATTAGAGGAAAATATGAAAGACAAGCTTTTTGATTTGTGTGTGTGTGTGAGAAGTTGATCTGGCTTGCTGTTCTGAAGTAGTACTGGAAGAGGCCTGTCTTGAATGAGACATAGAGCTCGGACAAATGAGATCTGGTGGTTGAGGGTGTTACACACCCACTGCCTCTCTCTGGAGGCATCGCAAAACTGTCATATTGAAATCCAGCAGACTCTTCTGCCAGAAAGCATGCAAGAGATGACCCTGACAATTCGTTGTGACTGATAATCTTTAAGATGTACGATATCTTTCTTTTGTTGTGAACCTCCTCTTTTCACTTTCACTTCCTTCCATTCAAACGCCATAATCCTTCTGGAACGGCAAATGCCAAACAGCAGGCTGAAATGGTAGATCCATTTGCTATTAGTGTATCTTTCTTCTTTCCTCTACCCACTTTCTTTTCTGAAGAAACCACTTGTTTGCTTTTTCTTTGTTTTGTAGCCTTTAGAAAGCCTTTGAAAATGCTTTTACTTCCCTGTCACCGCATTATGCTCTTTGGAGGGAGGATCAGCTGGAGTCATGGCAAAGAGAACTGCTGTCCTGGTAGTTTTATTTTGTATTCACCGTATGATTCCCAGAATTGCATTGTTCCTTCCCAGAGGGGGAAGATTGGTCTCTCATGCAAATCACTGGTCCTTTTCTAGGCTTTTGTAGCCTTCCTGAAATTGTTGGAAAGGATCCTTCTTTCTGCAGAGCGGGGAGAAGGAATTGCACCAGACAGGCTGGCCCCAGTCATTTTATCCCTTTCCTGTGTCTTACAGCTCCTTTTGAGGAGCAGGCACCAGTCAGTACCTATCCTGAGTTCCCAGGGCTTCTGCTGCTTTTGTGCATTTGGTGCGCCAAATTCAGCCGTGTTATTTGACTTAGAGACTTGCATTGGTGTGAGAGTACACAAAATCTGGCCCACAGCCCTGTCTGTATGCAAAAGTATGCTTGCTCATTTAAGCTGAATTGATAAATAAGTTTTTCTACTGACTTGTGATACATGAAGTTGGTACCAGTTAACCAAAATTAACATGTTTATGTTGTTTCAGCTGATAATATTTTGTGAGTAGAGGTGTCTGCAGATTCAGTTTTCACAAAGCCTTATTAGGGTTCATGAAAGTGCAGCTGTTATCCTCATGAATGCCTCCAAGCCTTGGAAAGTCTAGCAACAACACAGAGAATATGCAGTAATAGGAATTTATTTCAAAAGAAGTAAAGTGACAAAGCGAAGTAGAAAGAATAAGGCTAGAAACAGTCTGCATAGATCTGCACTGTGATTGAAAGTAGCGAGATTTAAACTACCTGTTTCTTGCAAGCAAGTTAAAAAGGACAGAAATTTTAGTTTAACCCCTATCTGCATAGACATCAGCACATGCGTGCAGAGGATTATTACCACCATCTGTTTTATCCACAGTGGTTTCCATCAGTTGTGTTGTTTTGCCTTTTTAGTGTTTAAGCACTGCTTTGAAGCTGTTGTGTTGTTAACTTAGGCTGAATCTGTGCATAGCTGCCTGTAGCAGTGTCAGCATGCTAAGATCATAACTGTTAGATTAATGAATGGAAGTATTAGCTCTGTGCCAGTGCAGTACATTAATAGCTGTGCAAGTTCAATCAAATACACTACTGACTTTGTCGTTGTGTAATAGTATTTACCAGATCTTAGATGGACTGCTGAGAAAGATGAATGTAATCTTTCATTTTTTATCTGACTTAAATACAAGGTAAAAAAATCATTTTCATAGACTATTTTATTATTATTCTTCGCAGGAGGAGAATATATGTACCTGTAGACTTGAATTTGTCACTGCAATGGAATATGCATAATGAGGGATATTGTAGTGAATGGAAGGAAAACTAACTGTTGCAACCATTATCTTTCACATAACTTAATCTCATATTCCGAATTACTGGAATTAATACCAAAAAGAAAAGAAAAAAGTATGCTTATTGCTTCGTTTTTTTTCTTTTTCCTTCACAGAACCTGAAGAGAGTGTTTGTAGAATTTAGTCATCAGGAGCTGTTTGAGTTCTATAACAAGGTCTGTAGATTTTACAATACTATAGTTTCTTTGTAAACACCTTATGCTGCT